TGAAACCAAAGAACAAAACCTGTTTTCAGGTCAGCAGATGTGCTTGTTCATCAATTGGGCCTTAATGTGATCTGGAATCAAGTCATCAAAGCTTCTCCTCCAACCTGCCCCGCGAGATTCACAGCTGTATCTACGGCAGAGCGATGGATCTCGTCAAGCGAGCCTCTGGTCGGTTTTGCGCTGATTCTGGCCAGTTTTTTCCAGCAGGCATTCAAAGTTTCAGTTTTCATCTCCTGAATGGCCAATCTGTATTACTTTTATTTAAATACCGTATCGTTATTGACACACAGGTAGAGAAGGAGCTCGGAGACTGTTTAGCTAATCAGGACACAGAACACAATGCACTGTGAAAAAAAACTGCACAGAAACAAATTCCGCGAAGCAGCAAGACCGCGAAAGGTGAACCGCGCTATAGCGAGGGATCACTGTGGTTGGCTAAGATAAACAAATAGCTTAATTGGTTTATTTTGTTCTGTTCTGTGGGAACTGGAAAGAAGTAGTAAATTAGCAGCTGTTCTGTTTGGGTTTCAGGTGAGCGACTGGTGGGAGGAATACGTCTACTTGAGGAGCCGAGGGCCAATAATGGTCAACAGTAATTACTATGGCATGGTAAGCAACTCATCCATCATTCTGTCTCTATTTCCACTTAAAGCTGTTACATTATGCTAGGTATGTTTATAATACCAGTATATCACCAGCACATTTCCAAAGAGATGTCATTTCTAATTTGAGAGGATAAAAAAAAAGAAAAAGCTGAAGTCAGAACTAAAGAAATGGAACGTTATGTTTCTGTTTATGGAACAATCTGTCTAAAGAAAACCGAGATCAATTTTTACTTTTCCAAAAATAATCTTTTATACATTGTCAAGGTGGGATGAAGTATATTGACGAAATGGAGTGTTGTATCCAGGGGTGAAACTAGGCGGGTACAGTCGGGTACCCCCGCTTGCAGTACCTGCAAGAGAGGAGCAGCTGTCTGCTGTAAAGAGTCAATGGGTTCATTGTGCAGCTGTGCATGCACCACTAATCAGCCGTGACTGATTAGTTTTTCAAGAACAATCTAGAGCATGACTTAATCAGTTAACAAATAGGTTTCCCACCCCTCCATTTCATATTGTTTCTGAACTGTTCATGCTTTACTAGAGCAGGGGGGCAATATGTCGATTGCGGAAGGTTTTGAGTCGATCAAAACCTTTAGGTGACATTAGGTGACAAACTGAACACCGCCTGGACGCTGAGACCAGCAGGTCCTCCTCTGACTCCTCATCAAAACGTTCGTAACTTTATTAAAGAACAACAAAAAAAGAGTCAACAAAATGTGTTCAAACTAATGACCCAACAAAAATAATAATCTCAGTAATTATTGTTTCAACAAGGTGTTGCACAATTCTGTGTGAGCAAGAGTTTAAAATTAGCTAATTAACCACGGCTGTCTTTGGGGAGCTCTTATTAATAATCGCAAAATAAATATCAAGCCTGAAAACCTAATTTCGTAACGGACTGAATGTTTTGTTTTTAAAGTAATCTCTGCTCAGCTTGCCACGGCAACGGGTGTGTTTAAATGACAAAGAGAGACGGACAAAGAGGTAGGAGTGGTTTTGAGTTGATCACCTGTTCGGGTTGTTTTACCTTTGTTTACCTTTGCCTTGGCACTTTAAAGGCACTGTAGTTTATGAACGTTCAATAAACGACAAACTTGGACTAATTATCTCGTTCGTTTGTGAGTATACATCATTCACAACAAATATCAAACACGGTAAATATGTTTCATTAAGTATTTAACAAACAGATGGCTTCTACCGCTATAATTATCTGAAATTAAATTAATATTTAGAAAAGAATAGTTTGGTGCTCTCTGGCATCTTGCTTTAAGCTCAGAGTCTGAGAGGCTTTTCCTTTATCAGACTATTTTTTAAATTTTTTTGCCTCTTATTTAGTGAAAATATTGATGTTGATGAGACTTTCTTCAAAGTGATAACCCTTTTCAACCTTTATAGCTCCACTGTTGAAAATGAGGCTCTAACATTCACAAATGACAGTGAAATAAAATCCAGTCCAACATCTGGTTTGAGGTGATTCCTCTGGAACCTGTTGGAGGAAAAACATCCCAACTTCAGAAGATGAGCTTTTAACTTATCAGTGCTCTGTTGTTCCTATCAGTATAAGAGTCAGGGTGAGGAGGAGTGGAAGCTGCAGGATCTTCAGAACAAACAGGTCGTGATGCTGGGCTACTGATTACCCCTCTGTCTGGACCAGGGGTGTGGTGAAGGGGG